CTAAAAAAATAATAATAATAACCAGACAGTTATTGTCTAGTCGTCAGTTCCTCAATTCAGGATTTTCTCACCTTATCTCGCACTTTAACACTGGGGTTTAAAAGACTATTAATATTCAGCAATATTATCACTTTAACTGCACTGACACTAGGCTTCCGTGACACTAGCCACATTCTGTGGCTTCTAGGGCTGTCAAAATGACTGAAAAACTAAATTCGAATTTTCTACTTAAATATTATCAAAATTCGAATTTTATTCAAATTTAAAAGGCATAATTTCAGTTAGGGTGGAAAAAAGCTTTCGGCTTCTCTCCTGAGGCCACAAGAGGGCGCATCGAGCAAAATATTACTAATGCACATTTCTTCAAAGCGTAATAAAATAACACGACTATCTTTGAAAAAAAGTGCATAATGTTTATAAACCATGCATAACCAGTCTTCAGTGTCACATGATCCTTCAGAAATCATTCTAATATGCTGATTTGTTGATTATCAATATTTAAAACAGTTGAGTACATTTTTTTTCAGGATTCTTTGATGAATAGAAGGATCCAAAGATCAGTATTTATGTGAAATAAAAAGCTTTTGTAACATTATATACTATTCCATTCAGTATAATTTTTATAATTTTTTTGGGGAAAGAAATTATAGAAATTATACTTTTATTTAGCAAGGATGCTTAAAATTGATCAAAAGTGATGATAAAGGCATTTATAATGTTACAAAAGATTTCTATTTCAGATAAATAGTGTTCATATCGATATCGGAATTATATCGTATCGACCGAAATTAAGAAATATATCGTGATATCAATTTTGGCCATATCGTCCAGCCCTATGTTGTACATTCAAATGCAATCAATGACACATACATCTCGTGCGCCACTGATACGGCTGCCTGATGGCTGACGCAGACCTTAAATTCAAATGCAAAGTTTTTGCATTCGAATGTGGATTTTTTTTTTAAATTCGACAAATTCAAAAACATTCAGTATAATTTTTATTATTTTTTTGGGAAAGAAATTATAGAAATTAATACTTTTATTTAGCAAGGATGCTTAAAATTGATCAAAAGTGATGATAAAGGCATTTATAATGTTACAAAAGATTTCTATTTCAGATAAATAGTGTTCATATCGATATCGGAATTATATCGTATCGACCGAAATTAAGAAATATATCGTGATATCAATTTTGGCCATATCGTCCAGCCCTATGTTGTACATTCAAATGCAATCAATGACACATACATCTCGTGCGCCACTGATACGGCTGCCTGATGGCTGACGCAGACCTTAAATTCAAATGCAAAGTTTTTGCATTCGAATGTGGATTTTTTTTTTTATTCGACGAATATTCGAAATTCGAAAAAAAAAATTTGACAGCCCTAGTGGCTTGACAGCGTTTATGAAATGCTGTATACAGAGACTCACACTCAAGAAGGCACGTGAAATAATGGGTTGTTGAGTGCACAAAAACACAGGCTTTCCCTAACATCCACTTCTGTGTCTTAAAGAACGTAAAGGAACAGCCAAAAATGACATCTCGTGTAATAATGAAAACAACAGTGCACTCAAATAATCAACACGAACAGATGAAAATGTGTAAATAAACTTACAAACCACTTCATATTAATTGTCTGTAACTACTAACCTTTAAATTAACCATTTAATACGATCATGCCTGTCACATTGAAAATGCCTTCATGTAATTACAAATTTCTGTAATTATGATTTGAGCCTGTGGGTAAGTTGAGCCAGCCCTCGTGTCTCAAAATTGGTGACGTGAACACAAATATATATATATACAGATACAAGTTTAATAAAATTGTAGAAATGGTGTAATTTGAGCTGAAAGCCCTGGGGTAAGTTGAGCCAGAGGCTCACCCCTTCTTATGATCATAAAGTGTTATTTTACTGTAATTCTACATGATATTTCATTCATTTTAGACCAACATTTTTTTTTTCTTCTTCTTTGTTTTGAGCTTGATTTTGTTCTGATCTGTGGCCTTGTTTATGAAAATTGGCCATTGACGTTTTCATGAAATTGTATTTCCCCGCAACATTCATAAGTGGGATGTTGAGCACTATTAGCGTAACAGTTCTGTAAGGTCAACTGCAGGCTTCAAACTTGTGTACTGTATCTTTAAGTTAAACTGTTACGAACTCATCCAACCACCCATCCGCTCACACACAGATTCACACAAGTCATTTTTATTGAATTTCTCTTCTTCTGATACAGCATGAGGTGAAAATGTTCAGTTTTCTAAAACGTAATACATGGTAGTTAACCACACCTAATATACAGCAGAAACTAAACTTCTATCGAAGATGACAGCTCAGAACTCAAGTTTGTTTGGCTCTCTTTATGACTATCAAACACTGACAACTCGTTCAAGCAACCGTTAACATGAAAAGCTCAATTTTGCGCTAGAATGTATTTATTTTGGCATAAAACCTGCTGCAGCATGATAGGGTTTGGGACTCCAACCAGAACAGCAACAAGCCAGTGTGAAGAACAGTACATCATTACAAAGCCTTTAATAAACTACAGGTTTGCTAATCAGCCCAAACGAGTTCGCTTTCCAAGCAGTGTTGCCAACTTAGCAATTTTGTAGCTAACTTAGATTTAGCGACTTCCCCACCCCTTTTGAGACTTTTTTTTTTAAACGTTTAAGGACAAATATAGCAACTTCTTGGACAAACCTTATCCAAGTTCTCATCTTGCCCACTGATCTATATTCATCTTTATATAGACCAGCGTATTTGCCATTATGATGTCATCTAGAGACATTTAGCTACCAGTTTTAGCTAACGTTACTCTCAATTGAAAGCAGTTGATAACACTGTCCAGCACATTTCACGAAGTTTGGGACTCACACAGCGCGTCACGAGACTGAACCGAACTATTCTGGCCTCACGGGACTTCCTCACGCGGGGAAAGTTCACTCGTGGCCGTGAGTTTCCGCGGACGCTCCCCGCACACCGGCCGCTAGCGCGGGACTCGGCCGAGGAGCGACCGCCAAACCCGGACCTAGCAACTGCCGACGGTAAACGCGCCGCCCTCTCATCGGAGCACTGAAGCGGGCTCACCTGCTGGCTCCTGGCCGCGTAGCGCTCTCAGAGATCAGCTGAGCCGGTTCTCTTCTCCGCCGGGTTTATCCTGCTGCGTCCGAGCCTCTTCAGTTCAGCGGCGACGCGAGTGACGTCATGACGCAGGCGCGCTCAGCCCCGCCCCGCCCCGCAGACGGGAGCCCTGAAGAGAAACACCTACAACCAGCTCTCTTCTTTATATAATTGGTGTTACTTTGTGGAAAGTGTATTGTGTTTTTTAAGACTGTTTTAGATTGTTTATATTAATCTGTGTGTGTGTGAGTGAGTGAGTGAGTGAGTGAGTGAGTG